GCTGGATGTGAGTGTTGATCTGCTGGAGGGTAGGAGGGCTCTGCACAGGGCCCTGGACAGGCTGGATCCAGGGCCCAAATCCAACAAGGTGAGGTTTAACAAGTCCAAGTGCCGGGTCCTGCACTTTGGCCACAACAACCCCTGCAGCGCTACAGGCTGGGGACAGAGGGGCTGGACAGCAGCCAGGCAGAAAGGGACCTGCAGGGACTGATGGACAGCAGGCTGGACATGAGCCAGCCGTGTGCCCAGGTGGCCAAGAAGGCCAATGGCTCCTGGCCTGGATCAGGAATGGTGTGGCCAGCAGGAGCAGAGCTGCTGTGCCAGCACTGATCTGCCCCCAGCTCTGCACACAGACATTGCTGCTGCAGCTCCAGAGAAGGCAACAAAAGGGCATCTCTGCAGAAAACTTGGCTGGGAGATCCTTTAGTTCCTTTGAAGCCACCGAGAGTGCAGCCCCTCATTGACACAGTCTGTGGGCACAGGGGATATGTTGAGTAACAATATGAGAAATGGAACTAAAATTATATTTATTGTGGACAATATGAAGAAAGTAAAAGGGGAAAAAAATCCCCACAGTTAAAGCAACAAGAAGTACCACAGATGACTTGTATTTAAACTGATTTGCAGAAATTGCCAATCACTTTAATGTCCCTGAAAGCATCCAGTCATCAGTCTCCACACTGCAGCCTTGAGCTCCTGGTTCCTCAGGCTGTAGATGAGGGGGTTCAGGGCTGGAGGCACCAACGAGTACAGAACTGACAGGGCCAGATCCAGGGATGGGGAGGACATGGAGGGAGGCTTCAGGTAAGCAAATATTACAGTGCTGACAAACAGGGAGACCACGGCCAGGTGAGGGAGGCAGGTGGAAAAGGCTTTGTGCCGTCCCTGCTCAGAGGGGATCCTCAGCACAGCCCTGAAGATCTGCACATAGGAGAAAACAATGAACACAAAACAACCAAATCCCACAGACACAGTAACAGCAATGAGTCCAAGTTCTCTGAGGTAGGATTTGGAGCAGGAGAGCTTGAGGATCTGGGGGATTTCACAGAAGAACTGGCCCAGGCTATTGCCATGGCACAGGGGCAGGGAAAATGTATTGGCTGTGTGCAGCAGCGAATAGAGAAAGGCACTGGCCCAGGCAGCTGCTGCCATGTGGGCACAAGCTCTGCTGCCCAGGAGGGTCCCGTAGTGCAGGGGTTTGCAGATGGACACGTAGCGGTCGTAGCACATGATGGTCAGGAGGAAATACTCTGCTCCAATGAAGAAGAAAACCAGAAAAAGAGCTGTGCAGCACATCCTGAGTAGGAGATGGTGCTGGTGTCCCAGAGGGAATTGTGCAGGGCTGTGGGGACAGTGGTGCAGATGGAGCCCAGGTCGCTGAGGGCCAGGTGGAGCAGGAAGAAGAACATGGGCGTGTGCAGGTGGTGGCCGCAGGCTACGGCGCTGATGATGAGGCCGTTGCCCAGGAGGGCAGCCAGGGAGATCCCAGGAAGAGGCAGAAGTGCAGGAGCTGCAGCTGCCGCGTGTCTGCCAGTGCCAGCAGGAGGAAGTGGCTGATGGAGCTGCTGTTGGACATTTCTGCCTCAGGAAATTATTATCTCCTGAGGAGAAAAATACAGCACTGAGTCAGGCCACACTTCCATGAGCAAAATATATTGCATATCTCATAGCAATGGAACATTTAGGGTGTCTCCTTTTAAGAACACTTCTCTACATTCCCCTCACCTGGGCTCTTGGTTTTGCAGGAATCGAGAGCAGGGCTCAGGAGGATTCCTTCTTCTTGAGCAGTGAGAGGCAACTGAGAATGCTGGGTGATCTCCAATTAAATGAACTTGGAAACACCAAAAATCTTTTCAGCTCTGCTGTTTGCAATTTGCCCATCTGAAGAACTGAGCTGAGGGAATTCCTTGTATTTGTTCACCCAACTGCAGCTGCCACAGTCAGGAGTGGTTGTGGGTGTTTGAAATCCCTGGCATTTCTAATGCACTGTTTTAGTTTAGGGCAAATTTGGGAGAAACCCTCTGAAAGGAGCCCCCAGGAAATAAACCCCCACGGCCCCTTCCCACCCACCTGGTTCAGGGAAAAATTTCCTCTGAGAGAGAAGTGGAAAGAACCTGTTTATTCAACAAACAAAGCACTCCCCAGCACCAAAACAATTAACAACACCAGATGACAACAAAACTCTTTCACCACTCTGAAGAGATGAACAAATCCAGAAAGTCTTTCCTGGGAGTGGTCACCCGGGTCTGGGCACTGGGGATTGCTCTCCAGCACTGGGGATGGCTGCTGCAGATCACAAAATGCAGGCTCCTGGTGTTCCTTGGTGTTTCCCAGATCCCAGTCCAGAGCAGGTTGGATGATATTCAGAAAGAGGAAAGGAAAAGCAACAGTCCATGGAAAGAATTGGACTGCTTAGCTAACCTAACTAGGAAGCAAAGCAAGAAAGCAGGCAAAGCAAGCAAGCCAAGCAAGCAAGCAAGCAAAGCAAAAGCCAGTCAGCCAGCCCTAGCCTTTTTTAGACAGCAGACCATGGGGGGAGGTGAACCAGATGATAACAAGGCAAAACAAACCTTCACTTTCAGAGTCAGTTCTGAAAGCACAGAACATAATATCAAACGTAAACAGAGCACACGATTGGAGATACAAACACCATAACAGTCACCCTAGGACAAGGAGTTTATGAGAGGCAAAGTAAGGCACAGAGGTGAAAGTAAAAGTTGCAGAGTCTGGGTTACCAGAGTCTGCTGTGTTGTGGGGATCTGGGCCATGCAAAGTGATGTTTTCCTCTGTGAATGGGCCGACTTCCTTCTGTATCTCCTCCTGAAATTCCTGTGCACCTGGGCTGGTGCTGGAAGTGCAGCCACACAAAGTCCCCACAGAGCTGTGTGGGACCCCGTGGGAATCATTTCTTTGCTGCTTTTGATGAAAAGCTGTGACATGAACCTCAGTGTCAGGGAGGTGAGACGTTAATGCTGCTGCTGTCAGACAGTGCCCACACACCGTGTCTGGAGGCAGCTCAGGAGAAGATGAAGAAAAACCAGGATTAAAACCCATGTGCTACTGAACTCTATCAGAAACAGCTTGGAGTGAAGTCTGTGCAGTGACTGGGGAGGGCTGGATAAAGGGGCCAGCTCTGAGAAGTCTGTGGTACAGCAGCGATGTCCTAATACTGATCTTTGCACAGAGATGAAAAAGTCTCAGTTTGCATAGCCTGAATGTCTGGGTCTGGAAATTCTGCGTTGCACAAGCTGTGCTGAGCTCATCTGGCTCTGAAATATCATCTCTGCACCTTAGCCAGGATCAGCATCAGAGTTCTGAAGAGATGAATAAAAATCAGTCATAACCCAGAAGCACACCTCAGCAATACACATCTCTGTCAGGTGAGGAGGCCAAAAGCTTTCGTTATTGTTCTTGGAGAATGAATTCAGCAATTTAAAAATTCCCTCTCTTGGCATTAAAATACTTTAGTTTCAGCTCTGTCCCCGATTATCAATGTCAAGTGTTCCTCTGGGTGGTTGGGGGTGGGTTCTCCCCCTGCAGCTCTCTGCAGGTTGGGGCTAATTAGAGATGTTCTGTCAGGTTCAAATGTTTTGGTGCCCAAGCAGCGAGTGCAGAACAGGGATGACAAGCGCTGACATTTGCTGTGCTACAAAGTCCAAGGGACAAATTTGTGCCAATGAACGTCACACCTTTAACTAGGAGGAACAATTTGTGTTGTGCATGTACCAGAGTCTGGTGACAGAGGGGGCTTCCAAAGAAAATCTCGGTCCATGTAGGACCAAGGCCCCTGTGCTGAGGCTGCCTCCAGGCTGGTCCAGCCCCTCAGGGTGCCCAGGAACAGGGGCTGCCCACAGCCCAGTGCACCTCGCTGGCCCTGGGGCTACCCAGGCAAGAGCCATGGATGAGGCTGTGCAGGACCACGCAGGCTCAGCCCTGTTCCAACATGGGATCCCACGGGACCGGGCACGCTGGGATTTGCCCCTGCAGCTCCCCAGTGTGTCCAGAGAGACTGCAAGGAGACAGTGACCTCTGCCAGTGGGACCCCTCTGTGCAGGTACCCCCACTCCTGGGGTGGCTGTGCCAGCTCCCCCATGAACTTCCCGCCCTGGGAACCTGGAGCAAGCGGAAAACACAACTTTGCCAATACTGCCTGTGCCTGAAGCAAATGGAAAGAGAACTGGAGTGTGAAAAATCAGGGTTGTTTATTTACAGGAGAACAGCAATGAAAACACAGAACACATTGACTTTTGTAAGAATATTTGTAATAACAACAATTTATTGAACGTATATACCTAAGAACATATCTAACAACAATATTTGAAACGTATTTACAGAAGAATAAACGAAGCCCTAAAACCTATATCCTAAAGGGAACAACAAACTCTAAAACTATGTACAAAAGGGTGCCATCTCTGTCCGGGATCTCCATCAGTCCTGGAAGAAAAGCAGGTGCCATGGTCACTCCAGTCAGGCACAGAGGGCTCTTCCGTGTGTCCCCAGGCTGGCACAGTGGGACCCTGCTGCCAGAGCTGAGGCTGGCTGGGTCTGGGGGCTGGGCCCCAGGCACTGGGATGGGGCTTGTGTGGCTGGAGCAGGGACCACCCAGCCCAGCCCCAGCCTGGCTGCAGGGAACCCACTCGTCCTGTGGGGACCACGTACCTGTCCTGCTGCTGGCACCGGTCTTCATCCCAGGACCATGGCCTCCTCTTCATCTTTCTCATCAATTTCCATGTCCTCGGTGCACTCTTCCATTTCCACGTCCATCTCCTCTTCCACATCCACCTCCATCTCTTCCTCTCCAGTGTGTTCTCCATCCACTTCCATCTTCTCCTCTGTATCAATTTGTGTGTCCACCTCCATCTCTTCCTCTCTGTCTGCGACAGCCTGCAGAGGTAGCAAAACCTCAGAGTGGGGTCCCTGTCCCACCCCATCCCCCCAGAACTCCAGCCCACCCGGGCAGCTGGGGATCCACCTCATGGATGGCACCGTACCTTCTCAGGACAAAGGTGATCATCCTGCAGGGATGGATGACACAATCCAGGCCTTCAGCAGCTATCGAAACTGATGATGGGGGTATCGGGTGCAGGAACAAGAAGGGTGGCAGGAGCGGGCAGGAGCAGCGTGCAGGGTGTGCTGACCCCAGGGCCAACAGTTGTGTTGTGCTGCTTGCTGGCTGCTGGCAGTTCCAGGTGGGACATGGATTGTGACGTGACAGTTGAGCTAGAGAGCCTTTGGTTCCATGCTTAGCAACGTTCCCCCAGACCATGGTGCTCAGAGCCCTGTTCCCAAGGATGGGGCATCCACAGCCTGGGCCAGTGCCTCAGCAGCCTCAGTGGGAAAGAGCAGCTTCCTGAGATCCAACCTCAATCAGCCTCCTGCAGCTGAAAGCCATCGCCCCTTGTGCTGTTGCCACAGGCCCTGTTGAACACTCTGAACACTCTGTCCCAGCCTTTCTTGTGGGACCCTTGCAGTCCTGCATCAGGAACTGAGCGATGGAAGCTTCAGGCCCAGGTTTGCCTCTAAATGTACAAAATTATTAACAGTGGAGGGGAAGATGGTGGGACACTGGTTCTGCTCTAACTGGTGAATATTTTCTTTTTTTTTTTTTTTCTTCTTTTCTATCATGCTGATGCAGGTTGAAATGAAGCTTGGCACAATATCCATTTTCTTCTCCATTTGTGAAACACGGAACAAAGTCTGGGCAAGCTGATGTTGCAGAGGAAAATCTGCAAATGTACTGGTTATCCTGAGCCTGGAGGATGAAGTTAAAGCCAGCCAAAAGCAATTTCTGGAAAGTCAAGCCTGGTGTACATTATCTTGAGTTTGGCTATGCCAAGTTCACCTCTCACTTATAAAAAAGCAAACAAAAAACTCAAAGCAAAACAGACAAAAACCCAAACAAACAAACCCACACAAACCAATCAAACCAATGGATTAAAAAAACACAAATAAAACCAAAGGGAATGAGGAGTTAGTATTAGTTGTGAGGATATCACAGCAGGCAAATGGCTGCTTCCCACCATAAAAAGCCACAGAAAACAGCTGCTCCAAAATATACCCAACAGGAGAACCATAAAAGTGATACATAGCAACTTTGGGGGCAGCTCCCCATTAAGGTGAAGGATGAGCACACAGTGGTACAGATCCAGCATTCCCCACCCTCCAGGCTGCTCTTTGCTCCTGATGAAAGACCCTTGCAGGTCTGTGGCCCCTCTCAGTGCATTATAAATCATTCCCACAGCTCTCAGTTGAGCCACTGGCATTTCCAGAGCGAGATCCAGGCACAATCCTACTGCCTGCTGAGCCTCTCTGGGAGATCCTGAGCATCTTCCTGCCTAGAGCCACAAAAGAGCTCAGGCTCTCCCTGACTGGGTTTTCAGGGGAGGTTTCCATATCCCTGTGAGATGTGTTCATCCCTCAACACATCTGATTTTATGTACAATGATGTGTTTGGGTTCCTTCCCTTCTCCTGTGTGCCAGTGTGAAGTCACCCATGTGAATGGAGGGTATTGTGAGCAGGAAAATGCATTCCTGGGTTGCTTTTTTGCTTCACTGTCACTCAGCTGAACAGGGTCCTTTTCTTAGAGGGACTTACAAGAATGGGTAGGAATTTTGGCTCTGAGAGGAGCAGAAAGCACATTTTCTGCACCACATTCCCAACAGATGCTGTTTCCCTGGCAAAACAGTGACTGTCATTCATGTTCCTGGGAAGACTGTAAAGAGCCATTCAGAGATGACAGGTCCACCTGGCCTTTGGCTTTGTGTACCTCATTTCACATGTCCAGTTTCAAGGGCCATGAAAAGAGGCCACCTTTTGCCCTGGCAGTGCTGATCCCTCTGCTGATGCCCTCCCTCAGCGTGGGAGGAATGCAGAGCTGGTCTCAGAGAACCACAGGGCTTGAGGGTTCCTGTGTCATGTCCGTGTGTTGGTAACCATTATTGAACCACCTAGTTCTTGTCTCTTATTGATTGAACTCTGGTTGGTTTCTGGAATTGGTGAAGGATGTGGAACTGCTGGAGCCAGTAAAGGGAGACCTTTGAGCTCCTTCCAATGCCTGAAGGTGCTTGAGGAGACTTGGAGAAGGACTTTAGAAAAGAGTCTGGAGGGAGAGAACAAGGGGAAGTGGGTTCAGCCTGACAAAGGAAAGGTTTAGAAGGAGAGTGGGAAGAAATTATATTCTGTGAGGTTGGAAAGACCCTGGAACAG